TCTCTGAAGCAAATGACCAGTCCCTCCAAAACTTCTAACCATAGAAACAAATTCAATAAAATAAATCCCTTATACTTTAAAAAAAAAAATTTCAAAATTGAACGCCAAAAGAAGTTTCAATGCAAATCTGAAACCCATTTTATACTTTTAATCACGTCAAAACTCAAATCCGCTAAAAATTTTAACAGGGTATATAAGAGTACAACAATGTGAATCAAAATCCAAAAAAACTCTCAGCTTTTTCTTTTGAAATTTGAACAGAAACCCCAAAATGGAAGTGCTTTGAAATTAAATTTCAGAAACCTTATTATGTTATAGAGAGAAAGTATTGGGAGAATGGAAATGATAGAGAAAAGGAAAAAAATGAAAATGGGTTAGGATTGAAATGGGGTTGGGAGAGTAGGAGTGGGTAGATAAATTAATTTAGTTTTGTAATAGTATTATTTTAAACTAAAAAAATGAATTATCACCTGATTGTACAAAAAAATTTAGTGTCCGTTTGATTGTAAATGTGGAAAATTGGTGGAAAGAAAATATTTTACAGGGAATTGATTTGTCTAGAAATTATTTTATTGGGAATTGTAATTAATTGCGTTTGATTGGTATAATTTTTCATGATAAATTAATTTAGTTTTGTAATAGTATTATTTTAAACTAAAAAAATGAATTATCACCTGATTGTACAAAAAAATTTAGTGTCCGTTTGATTGTAAATGTGGAAAATTGGTGGAAAGAAAATATTTTACAGGGAATTGATTTGTCTAGAAATTATTTTATTGGGAATTGTAATTAATTGCGTTTGATTGGTATAATTTTTCATGATAAATTAATTTAGTTTTGTAATAGTATTATTTTAAACTAAAAAAATGAATTATCACCTGATTGTACAAAAAAATTTAGTGTCCGTTTGATTGTAAATGTGGAAAATTGGTGGAAAGAAAATATTTTACAGGGAATTGATTTGTCTAGAAATTATTTTATTGGGAATTGTAATTAATTGCGTTTGATTGGTATAATTTTTCATGA